GCCTTATTCAGTGACGGTTGCTGAGCATCAGACGCACGCAGAAGCGTGCGGTGAGCAGTTATCGCGAGAGCTTGAAACAGCCGCGGAAATTGATTTCGTCTATCTAGGTTGCTCAGGTAATGGTAAGATGGTGGTGTGCAGATCCAGGGCGGGCGTGAGGTGCGAACAGTTGAAAGGTAGCGAGGAGGAAAGACGGCCGCGGAAGACGTTCAGGTGGCTTGTTTGAGCTAAACGCATGGTTTCTCCTGAGCCCAGAATGAGGCGAGCCGTAAGGGAGGTAAGTAAAATAGCGAAAGGCTGATTCAAGGTACTGTACATTTATCTTCGTCATCTTCCTTCTCGTTCTCCCTCCAGGTGCCCTAAAGAACATCATCATCACATAGAGCACGGTCTGCCATAGAGCCGGTGTTCGAAGGGGCGACTCGATGCGAAGCCACTTTAATTTGTATCCATTCGTTTTCTGAATAAAAAAATCGTCCATGCAAAACATCAAACCATGAATTCATGACTTCGTAAACACATCCACTAGAAAAATCTGGTCCTCTATCTCCATCTCAGTCCAAGCAGGCACCACAAAGCACCCACTTCCTCACCCAACCGCCCCGTTTCGCCGCAACCCCGGCATCTCTCCCTGGCCGAACGAGCCCGTCGGACTGACCATCGAAGCTCCACCCCTTCGCTTCCAACCCCTCAGTCTCCGGCTCAAGGGCACGCGCTCGTCATCCTCAACATCGTCTTCGAAGAAACTCGTCAGAGGCGCTCCTCCGCCCGACGCGCCATCCCCAGATCCAGCCGACCCAAGCCTCTGAGCAGCGGATCCTGGCTGCCGCGCCCCGAAACGGGACTCGTGAGCGAGTCGGGCGTCGTGGCCGCCGTGTCGCCGCTCCAGCGCGACGATTGCGGCGGAGAGATGTCCGAGGCGCTGTGGAGGGTGGAGGTGCGCGAGATGCGGATCGGCATGGGTCGACGTGGTCCCGTGCTGTTTTGTGGTGAGCTGGTGATGGTGGCGCTGGGCAGCAGGCGGATGGAAGTGCAGGAGTCGGTGCGGAGACGGGTTGGTAAGCTCGCTTTGCGCGGGCGCGATGGGTCGGTTGGTTGGGCGAAGGCGGCGGTGGTCGGGGAGGGGCCTCGGCGATGACATTGTGTTGAGGTGCGATGGCTGGGAAGAGCGAGTAGTTTTCGCGGTGTTGGTGGATGGGACCGCCGCTGGAGGTGTTGCTAGTCGTTTGCAAGGAAATCTGGCTCGCCTCAACTGTTGTCGTTGAAGGTTGTGTCGGTACATCAATGGTCGAAGAGCGCTGCGGGCCAGCGTCGAGCCCGAAGTCGAAGGCAGCTATGTCTTCGTCCGCAGGCCTTGTCACCGGTTGCGGTGTTGGTATTGGTGTCCGGTCCATGTAGTAGTCCAGGATTCCGAATGAGATTTCCGATTGCCGCGCGCTGGCCGAGACGTAGGGCGAGCCGAGGACATTGCGATCACTGTGGTTTCTTCGTTGGACACGGTCATGCCGCTGCCGAGAATCGGGCTCTTGCAAATCGACGATTTCAGGGCTCCGTGGCGCCTGCTCAGAGCTTTCCCTTCGCGAAGATGGTGGTGCCCGCGGTATGTATTGTGACGCATCGCGGAAGGTGTTGATCGGGCTGGGTCTGTCGGCCTTGAGCTTGCCAGGGATCCTCAGCTGGTCGTCTCTTGGCAGCCGCGCTGGAAGTGTGCTGTTGCCTGTGCGAGGCAGCAGAGGTACACGGGCGGAGTATGAGGCCATGGCTGGCGGCTGAGGCGTCCGGCGCTTGTTGTATTGGATTAGAATTATGCAATACGAGATAGAGTATAACTCAGATAAAGTGAAAGGTCATCAACAGGAACATATACACACGCTGCACTGCATTCCCCGCCTTTGAGCGAGGGGATATGAACGTAGGGGATGGAATGGAAAAGCCAGGGAGTGTCAACAGACCGGCTAGACTTACTTGGGCTCCGCTTCATCGATCGATGGGCGGCCCGCCGTATAGAACACTCGAGGTTACACGAACGACTAGACCTGCCGCAGCTTGTTCGCAGCCGGCACGCAAGGGGCAGAAGAGCTTGCTTGAGGTATGGGGTAAACAGCAACAGCAAAATAAATACTCGAATAGAGTCCAGAGTATAGACATAGGTGAACGAGCGAGAAAGTCTTGAAAAGGACTCGAGATATGCAAGTGACAGAAAAGGGACGTTGATAGTAGAGCTGCTGATAGGGCGACAGGGCCGGAAGTGTCGATCCCCGTCGTACACAGGGGGACGTACCACATCTGCAGGGTCCTTCCTGCATTTACTCACACCGCGATCGCGTCATGAGCTTTGGTGTCTTGCGAAAACGACAAGAAATGATGCTTGACTTCCACGGTGTCGAGCGTCCCCGCAAGGAAAGCCGCAAGAACGGGAATGCGAAACCCTATAGCACGAAACAAAATTATATAATCGAGAAGTGAAGAAGCATGTACGTACAGTGTGATGCTGGTGAGCGGCTCCACCTCCCTTTGAGCAAGGTCTCCAGAAGGTTTACGCAAGTGCAGGGATTCTGTATTCAAGGAACAAAAGACACTTTCCCTATGGCTCGGATCCTCTTTCCTAACATGTAGAACAGGAAGGTGATACGGACGAAGAGGCTGGCAGCAAAGAAGGAAGATTCGATCGTCGTTGGCATCGGGCGCGTCTCAGGGACAAGTTTGTTGTCATTGGCGATGAGGCGCTTGCGGTGGTAACTCTGCCCCCAAAGGTTGACAACACAACGTCCAAAACTGTCCAAGCACGATTAACAGCGGAACCATGAGTGTACTTACAAGGTTCGATGAAGAGGTAGACCATCGCATGCCGCTGGGTGTATCTGCAGGCGAAGAACCAGCCGAACTGGCGAGGCTTATCGGGCAGTTGATGTACAATCTCTAGTAGATGCGTGTTGTAGGAAAGGAGTCACTGTTTGACATGCTCCTGTCCCGCATTTTCGTTCCGTTGGAAGACGTCGTAGGCTGTGTTCCACAGCTCGCTGATGATGAGCCTCGCAGTCTTCCGAGAGGCGGCTGTCGAGTTGACCGAGGGACCACCAGACACGGCGGCGGACTTCGATCTCAATCACAGTCAGGGAAAAGGAAGCTCTATCAAGATGCATGCCCATGATCTGACCGATGCCCAAGGCTATGCCACCCACCGTCCAGGTTGATGGAGCATTCCTGGTGCGCCTCCTGACCTTTTCGCCGAGGCCTGGCCGAGCGCATACGTTGCATGGAGCGTTGGCACAAGCAGTGGTGAGCTTATCGCATCACGGAAAGTTGCAGCGTGTCGTGTTGGCGTTCGAGACACGGTTTGTCGTTTCTTTCAAGGACGGCTTTCGGTTTGCCAGCGATGGGGAACCACAGCACAGCGCAGCACAGCGCAGCACAGCGCAGCACTCATTGATTTCTCATGCACCATTACGTCATTGCTGGAGGCCTCCGCCTCCACTCTGTTTCTGTTTCTGTTTCTGTTTCGCGCAACGCGTTTCAACTCGTTCTTGTTTCCCACTCCAGCGACATAAAAAAACATTGCCATCTCTGTGACTGTGTCTTTGAGTACTACACCTAAACAATGGCAAACAACTCAACTCCATCCGTACGCGTCCCGTTCCTTAGTGTGTTCTTCTGGCTTTGCATCGTCTGGCCCTGCGCGGTTTTTGCAGCCTGGCTGCCGAACTCCAACGACTTGTCGAGACAACAAGTACAGTCCATCATCAAACCCGATCACTCGGACTTGAAACTCCGCAACGCAACGTTGAATGATTTGGATGCCGTTGTTGATGTAACAGTTGCTGCATTTGGTGATTCCCCGGGAACAAAGTATCTTTTCCCGCATCGCCACCAATATCCCAATCTCTATCGGAAGTGCCTACGTCAAGGAATGGAAAAGCTGTTGCGAGACGGAGACAGAGATCGCGGGATACTGAATGTTGCTACTCTGCCCTCGAACGAGGATCCGAGTATCGGAGCGGTTGTAGCGATTGCCGCGTGGCAGCCTGAGCATATCCGAATCCCTACTTCGCTCGGCATCACTAGCTCAGAGAACGCAGACGACGGTATGAGGCCCCCTCTTCCGACTTAGACTTGCAGTTCTTAATATGACTTCCGCCATCTAGACGATTGCAGAAACCGTCCTGACGTATCATATCCTCGCGCTATGGCCTTCATAAGGGAAATGGAAAAAGCCACAGAGACCTACTTTGACCGTCCATTTGGCCGTCGCCAGCTGTATCTCGACTCGCTTGGTACACATCCTGATTACCAACGCCGTGGAGCTGGCTCGGCGCACGTCCGATGGGGCCTTGACTTGGCCAAAGAACGCGAATACCTGGCTGTCACGCTGCTTGCAAGCGATGCAGGGCGTCCTGTGTATGCCCATCTAGGCTTTGAGACCCTGGCCAACATGACGGTGCAAGTGGAAGGCGAAGAAGAGAGCGTCACCTGGACAGTCATGGCTTATAACGTCTCCGCGCACCTGCAGAGTCTAGCCTAGTCTTGTCAAGAGCAGATCGCGACAATGTAACACGCATGCTCTGACTTTGTACAGTCTACGGGGAGAGGATCGGCCCACCACCATTATCACGTTTTATCGGCCTTGGGCTTGTTCCGCTCTCCCGCGGTACTCAGCTCCACAGATCTCCAGCTTAAAGTTGATCGGACCCTTTCACTCTCACTCAACACAGCAGTCAACCGATCATATTGAGAATGCTTGTCGTCGAACATTCCGTCTTCCCAATCTTTCCCTAAGCTAGGCAAAACTTCGGCAGTCTGTGCCCTTGATTTCAGGCTTGTGCTTTTCTCTCCTTGTTCACCTTTTTTTCTCTACCACCATTTATGCACGATCACTGATCCGTTCCACTTGCTGGTACCTGACTCCACCCATCACAGCGGTTATTTATTTTCTAACCAATCCTTGCTTCCACCGGCAGAGTGTTGGGCTCACCCATCGACCCCGTCGTCGGTTTCTTCGTCATGGGCTTGTGGTCTAGCGGTATGACATCTTCTTAGCATCTGTCGCTCTCATCGAGCATGGGTTCTGAGATGGAGAAGGTTCCGCGTTCGACTCGCGGCTAGTCCAGTTCTTTTGCAGTCCTTGATCGCCTCAAGGGAGCTTTTGCCGAACGACCGGCTTGAACATTCCTGGGCTGACCTCGAAACGTAAAGCGTCGGGGCTTCTGCATCTTCCTTCAGAGCAATCAATCCGGCAAAGGGTGTTATTGTTCCTAGGAACCATTCGTTTTCAACATCACGTGATGGGCACTTTGGTAAGCTTGCACTTCCACATGGCCGTTGTATGTTATGCCAACAACCTCACAGGCGGAGTGATTAACGCGCTGCCCTGTTATGCAAGCTAGGCAGTTCCTTCGGCAGTGTGTGTTATGAGTAATCTCCATGAACTTCAGTTCGAATCGCAATCACTAACATCGCAACAGCGAATCACACAGGTGTCGATCTCTTTGCTCATCTGCGGCTATTGCAGGTGTTCTCTTGTCTTCTTTCTTTGGTGTCCCATAACGCCGTCATGAGACAGGGCTTCTTGCCGGTCAGGTTCATGTCCTTTTGGACTAGCTGATGCTTTCCCACACGCCACTGGACAACTCACAGGATCTCCCAACCCTCTGCTACCACTCCAAAGGCTTGGATATACTGTCCACTGGATTTTGATGTTATTCTGAGCACCAGTGTTCAATCACCGATCATGAGTCCATGGTTCGTCTCGACTCTCTCCACCGGCGAAGGAAGAGTTGTAACATAGCCAAGACTTACTAGAGTGAGTCACAACCTGATGTTCCGTGCAGATTCGGATCCTGAGTCGAAAGTTACACTTGGTGTATGTACAACACGACAGTCCCCAACACAGCCTCGTCTTGGCACCAATGCGCTTCGGCCAATCACAATTCGCCGACCTTCGAAAAGAACATCAGACCATCGTACTGAGATGTAATGGGAATCAGACCACTCACAAACCATTGGAGCATCTAGCAGATTCCCATCTTCAAAAGAAGGCAACCACATCAGCCTGGAGGCCAACATGCGGTGATTCCGAAAATAGCCTCTCGGCCTGTAACAAAGACACAGGAGAACCTCTCTTGTGGACAACAAGTCTCATGCATTGTCAGCGACAGACCGACATACTGTGCGACGTACGCATCTCAGTGCAACCGTCATGCTATCCTCAATGTTCAGCTCGTCACGCTATTGTGGCGGTCAATGCAGTGCACCGTCTGATTGGACGTGATTCGACAAGACTACTCAACGTAGTGCAAGGATTTTTATCCATCGACCAGGCGCCTACTTACATATGAGGGAAGCACGATGCCCAGACTTCAGCGTGACGTCGATCAAAGCGCCGACATGACCATCGTCGAGCAGCCCTCTCAAGTATAAAACACTTTCTTCCCCTTTGTTTCAAGCGACTCTTGGTCTTATAGCATAACTCGCCATAAGACAATCCTATCATCCGTCCGTTCCATCAGCTTCAACGTCAAAGCCAGCAATAATGCGTCTTAGCCCCGTTGTCTGTTCTCTCATCCTTTGTAGCACTGTCCTCGCCGCCGCCGTTCCCGACCCCGCGGCGGCCGCGGAATCCATGGCGGAAGTAAAAGTAGCCCTCGATGCCCGTGCCTGCAAATGCGCAAAGGGCACGCCTCAGGGTCAATACTGTGGTATTTGCCGCCAGGTCACCTCCGGTTACGATCTCGACAATGTCTACGAGTGCAACCCAAAGGGAGGTTGCTACGATTACGGATATTCGAAGCATTGCCATGGGGAGATTCCGAAGTGCAATGGTAAAGATTGTAAGTAGCATTCTCACTGCGCCATCTGAGCAAGGCAATTGACGCTTGGCAGGATCGGGTCCGGGCTAATGAAGACGCTGCTTGGGACAATCGATGGAAATGAGAGGGCTGGGTACAAAGGAAGTTATCCGCACGGAAACGTCGTTGATTACGGGGTCGTGGTTGCATAGCTGTGAGCTGCACTTGTTCGGATGCTGTGGTCGTTGTTTGGTCTTCCGTAGGTAGAAACCAAGATTCGTAGTGATTGCGGTATCAACGCTGCTGCGTCAACACCCTGACCGACGTGCGTAGCTCTTTCACGTTCTGCTGGCCATCCTTGCCGATGACAGCGTACAGGGCAATTACACGGTTGGGCCTTACCAAAGCAGATTACAGTGGGATATCCCACGACGGGTGTGAACAAAGAATAGGCTACACCGTAATGCTTGGCTTAAACGCGACACGACAATGTTTAACATCAACTCGTCTTAGGCTCCTTGGCGACAACGACTTTCACCAATTGACTCTTCGTTCCTTTGCGGAGGGCGGACGTCAGACCATCACACAAGGAGGGATTGGATATCAGACCACTTGCAAAACATTAGGGGACAAGGCTGACTACAAACTCCAGGAGCATGGCGCGAAGATCGACCTGCGAAGCCTTTCGAGAACCTCAGCCAAGGACGTATGAGGAGGATGGATCGCCACGCCGTTGGCCGCTAGGTGTCAGGCATCGGTGCAGGATTGAAAGCAGCATCTGACATTAAACCACCATACAACTTCGGTGCCTTGATCATCGCCCCGTCTGAGCGATCAGCTCAGAGCAACCGCAACCACGCAAGTTCAGATATATAAACCACCTTCTTGCCCGTCCTTTCCTTCACCTCCTATCACCATCACATCCGGCTTCAGTCAAGTCTATCCCTCATTCGATCACCTCAGCCTACTACCAACTCAGCCATCGAGCGCCCTCCTGCTTGTTACAATGAAGCTCGCCCACCTCATCCCCGCCGTACTCGCCGCTTCTCCACTCGCGGCCGCCTGGAAGGTGCAGCTCTACGACAAAGAACTGTACAAGGACATCATCCACGAACGCGACGGCACGCTGAAACAGCCCTGCAAAAACCTCGGCTCAAACGTCAACAAGGCCCAGAGCATGCACTGGGACAGCTGCAACTTGGTGACCTGTTGCAAGATCCGGCTGTACGACAGCGGAGACTGCTCGGGAAACCCGCTCGGAGACAGCGGTTATGAGGACTGGAACCTGCCGGCGTTCTCGACCAAGGCCAAGAATAAGGTCAACTCTTACAAGATCGACTGTTGAATTTGATCTCGACCGTGGAAGAAGAGTTTCGTTGCGGGAGCAGGATGGGGCGGTAGGATGGCTTTTTGTCTTTTCATGGGGTCTGGCAAAGCTGGAACACGTTCGTTACTGTTGAGATTGAAGGCCCCGCCTCACCGTTCGTTCATGTGTCGAGACCTGATTGTACGCATCGTCGAATGAAGATGGTTTGCAATCACCATTACACTCGCTCAAACGATAGCACTGCGTTGCTCTTGTTGATTGCTTGCTCTTTCAGTCGTCCGTGGAAGCCGAAGCAAATTCGTCCACCGCTTACGGTTATGCATACGAAATTCTCCTGCGGCTCGTCCTCGTCTAGTCAGATGCGAACACGCATATCCGGATGTGAAGAACGCTGTGCTCGACCCTAACGTTAAACAGCAGCCACAGAGGTAAACAAGGCCTAGCACTTCGGTCTCCATGCTACCTCTGTGACCGCGCAGTCGCTTTGTGGCAGCAGTGAGTCAGTCATTTCCACTCACTGCTGGGTACACTGTCTTCCTCATCATATTATAGCTCCAAAGCGTTCGCCTTTTGGATTACCATCAGGCGATCTTCTCTTCCTTTCTAGATCAGACATGTTGTCTGTGTCTCAACACCACGTCGCCTCGATGCGCCCGGCTCTAATCTTGGATCGAGCATATACAGTACCTCTCTCCAGTTATCGTGTTGAGGAATGTTCAACCACATCCCATACCATCCACTATCAAGAAGACCTCGTGCTGATCCGATTGTCACTGTTTGCCGCAGCGGCACGAAGCTACGGGATGGATGAACTCGCTACGTCGCTGCGCATGTCCATCACATCGAAGACTTTGGGTCCAACAGGAGTCGAAGGCCGTTGTTCACAAGCCTATCCGAGGCATGCGACGCAAGATAGATACGTTGTGGAGGGCCGAGTGGAAAGAACGAAGGCGGCCTTGTCGTCTGAAACAACACTTGTACGATGCACCGGGCCGTGGGAGATCCATACGCTACCAAGTACAAAAGGGACGGATATGAGGCGTGCAACCGTGCGACGATGGAAGCCATTCGAGCTCGGGGTTCGAACGAGGCATCCCGATATGAGACAGGGTCTGCCATAGTGTCCGAAGTAAAGCAGTCCAGCCAAAGTTGCCACTTAACCGACTCCATACGCTCTATTTTATTTTTATTCTTGTAAACATTAAATGAGAACCAGATGAATGGATGTATAAGAACCATAAGAGAGAAACAGACGGATCCAAACCACTTCGCAATCCGTCCATCCCGCACCCCCAACGCCTCCATCCAACGGCCCATCCCACATCAACTTCTCATCCTTCCCCATCAGCCACAGTCACAGCTCAAAGCAGCCTCAATCTACAAGCGGAACAGCCTGCTTTTAGCGACGGAGGTCGCAACCACAGGAACAGAGCAGTCTGGCTGCACGTTGGTGAGGTTGTAGAAGTAAGACAAGCTGTATGTGTATTTGGCGCCCTGTGCATTGCGTGTTAGCCACCCACACTTATTCGGCCTGTTCCGTCATGAGGAGCACTTACCACAGAATCGTCGTAGGAGGCCGTGTTCACAGCGTACTGCTTACCCCAGCCAGAGGTGTACATAGTGCACATCTGGCCCTGAGGATACGAGCCGGAGCTGTTGGTCTTAGTGAGAACGTACGAGCCGAAACCAGCGCAGATGGCCGGGCTGCCGCCGTTGGGTGGGTGGGCGGTATCGTAAGCGGACTGGGCATCGCAGGCGGCCTTGCAGAGGTTAGGGTCGTACGGGCCAGAGGTGAAGAGCTTGTAGCCCATGTAGGTCCAGGTGGTCTGGCAATCACGGAGAGGGGCGTTCATGACGGCGTTGTTGAGTGAGAGAGGCGTGGCACAGCCATCGACTGGGCCGCCGACGGCGTAGCTGGTGTAGGCGTTGGAGCCGGCAATACCGACCTGGAAGTTGGCGCGCCATTGACCGTAGTTGTTGGCGGTGGTGTTGTCG